TGTCAGACATTGGTCATTAAGTGTACGATACAGGGAAGCAATGGTGTGTTCAATATTTGTTGCTGGTCAACATTTGTAAATTATTCCTTCTTTTTTTTTTATTTACTGATAGCAAATGATGTCCTTTAAATAAATTTTTTTGAAAAGTGTACAGGAACATCCATCTCCCCATCACCACCACCAATTCCCTAGCGTACTATTTAAGTTTGTGAAAGTAACGTAAATTGTGAACGACCCCTTACTGAAGCAAGGGAAGGGAAATTATATGCTATACACATAACAGGTTAGCCGGATGTACTCAAACGTCAATAGGAATAATTATATTTAATGATGACTAACCACCACCAGGATAAAGAAAAGAAGAATTACTCAACAGTTATATCAAACGTGTATTAACGTGACTAACTTCCTCGGATGCTAATTCACTCAATAACAGTTTATTTACACAACTAGAAATTCGATAAAAAGTGTTAGTTTTACAAAAAAGATTCTGGAAAGATGGACAACTGTCACTGTTGGATATATTTTGTTCTTACTAAAACCTAACGTGTGAGTTCTAATATTTAATATCATTAGTTCATTATAATCACTAATCGCCCACAGAGCATGATGGTGCAACGATTGCACACGTGTTCTTCTTGGCTCATTGGCGATTTTTTTACGATCTGTCTAACTGCATTGATTAATAACCCTAGCCTCCTCTATTTCCCCCCCCCCCCAATCCTCTACAGTGACTCTCCGGTTATTCTGCGGGCTTATAACACTAAAAACCGGGTTTCGATACTCTCGGTTGGCAGAGTACGTACCATTATGTAGTTGTGCGCTTAACAACAAACAAAACAAACCACCCTTATAGTTACATTAGAACAAATATTTGCGTAGAATCTTATCGAACGCGCGCGCGTATGTGTGAACATATATTTTTGAAATCTTGAAACCTTATTACTTCCTCTATAATACTTTTAATAAAACTTTTTTATTACCGTCCGAAATTCAACATTTAACTTGGCCTTTAACATAAATACTTCAAAACGAAATATATCATCAAAATTTCATAAGCACAAACCTCCAATAGCAGTTTGTGGTCGTTGAAAAATGGTCCTTTAAGCCCAGATTCCGCAATGATATCTAAACTATTAAGAATATCAATTTTGATAAAAAGAGTTAGCACAAATGATCACATATAAAGTGTAATAGACTTAAAATAAGACCCAAAACTCGAACGCTTTCGAATAATTGACTATTCGTCTCCTGAAGAAGAATAGTCAACTATTCGAAAGCGCTCGAGTTTTGGGTCTTATTTTAAGTCTAAAGTGTTAAGATATTTTCATTGTAGATCCATGTCCTTCCCTAATTTTGAACCGATGCGTTACAGTCTACAGAGAAGGCATCTAGTTAGCAGGAAACTTCCAACCTTAGGGCTATTCCTGTCTGACAGAAGTGGGATTTGACTGTCACTCTTATACCGCACCTACAACCCCAAAGTGCAGATCGCATTTTTGCCGCAGGGGATATGAATCACTACCATACAGGTCCATCATCCTGGCATCGAGGCCACTCTTGCTGATCCTTTGGCAGGCGCTGAATAATACCTTCCAACATCTACACTGACAGTGTAGCTTCACATAACGTCAGCCTTGAAGGGGACGTGGTACGCTGAAAATAACATTTCACTGTAAAATTCCCCGAAGACGGCGAAAGCCTTGAAGATAATTATGATACGTAACGCACTTAAACACGTGTACATGCTCAACTGCTCCCCAGGGTCACTGTTGGCATATGCATATATGTGTAACTAGATGTTAGTTACAAATATTTTAATAACAGTCGCTTGTAGTAAAGTCCTATATAAAACTGTGCATACACCCAGTTTAAATAGTTTTTAATAGTATATACTTTTAATATCGCACGGTTTCACAACTGACTTCACACAACAAACTGATATACATACACATGTATAATCCTTTGTACAAGCTTAGACAGTTGCATCTAATTTCAAATGGAACTTCGTTCTCAAACATTGCAAACCTTTTGTGTAATAATAACGTGCCAAACTGAGTTTAGGATGATGAAAGATTAGGACCTCAGTCAACACTATTTTCAGCTATGGGTGCATTAATAATGTTACAGTCAACCCAACTATTCAGTTCATAGTAGCCGTGTAGGCGGTGTGCGTTATCTACTGGTTTATCTCTTTCTAGTGCAGCAGTTGTAAATAATATAGTATGTTTTGTCATGGCATGGAAACATGTTGTGTCTAATTACATTTTTTTAAGCAATTATTCACGGAACCTTTACCACCATTCACGATAAAAGCTCGAAATTTATAGTGATTAATAGGACTAGAGAAGAAGAAAAAACGCCTTTACTCTTCAGATTATACTTTTTTTTTTTTTTTTTTTTTTCTAACCATTGGGGCTTCATTAGGGCAAGTATAAAAACTATTAATCTGTTAGTAACTTAGATTATTAAAGTAATTATATAAAATTAAAAAATAAACGTGCGAAGGAAAAGCAGATAATATTGTTATAAGCTATATTTTTAATGTTGTAACTTAAGTATTAGCAGGAAGTAGCTGTGGGTCTTTAATGATGATATTAAGATCAGAAGATTTAATAAAATCGGCCTAAAATAATGTAAGGGTGTGATTTAAAGTATTCTAGCACATTCAAAGCTGGATTATAAATATCAGATAGTTGAAATGGGAAGTCTTTCGAGATAATTGAATCCACCGGTGTTTTTCGTGAAATATTTGAATCTGTGTATGTTATCGTGTTGTTGAATTACGCTAAACATCCAAGTTGATTGGTTTTTATTAAGATAATTTGTAACGTAGGCCCCCAAAAAGTTACGACATTGTAGAAATGTTAGAAGGAAGAAATAGATAATTCAAAAGAATTCGTCAACGAAAGAACAGCGATATAAAAATGTGTTATATTTCGACCACACTACATCTGCTGTATCCTTGCCGACGAGGCCTTTTCCGCAAATGCCAGGTTTCATCAGGCTAACTGGGATAAAACAGGCATAGTAGTGGTCGGGGCGTTATTTATATTGTTAATTTCGTGAACAATTGTTATGGTGTGCACTATAAGTAAGTGAACTGTAATTATTATCAATTTTAAGTTATCAAAGTTGTTTACAAATCAGAATTAGGTAAAATTAATAACACTATTATTTATTAGCCGCAGCATAGCAGCTCATAGAATGGCTCCGAGTTTTGTGTTGTATGTTTTTAAGTACAAAACGTTTAGGTCGTAGCTCCATCTCTTGACCGATTTGAGATCTAATTACAGCCTCGGCTATTGAGGATTCCCTCTTGTTTTTAACACTACAGTAGAATAAGTAGATTTGTGCAATTTTGTTAAATCCAAGCTTGCGTATTAGTTTGTCTTTTCTTTAATTCACCTTTACTACTGACCCCCCAGTGGCACAGCGGTATGTATTGTAGTATGTAGTATTCATACCTCAGTGGGGGGGGGATTTAGAAAATTGAACATTTTCTAAAGAATTTTTTTTCTGGGAAGCAAAAAAAAGTGTTCGGATTGTTCTCTTTTGTCATACGTAATTCATTGCATCAAACTGATTGCATCCCAGTGGCACAGCAATATGTCTGCGGATTTACAACGCTAGAATCTGGGTTTCGATAGTCGTGGTTGACAAAGCACAGATAACCCATTGTGTTGCTTTGTGCTTAACTTCAAACAAAATGATTCAATGTACAGAGACAAAAATTTTCATAAATTTTACTCGTATAAACTGTAATGTTTTTTATGAAAAAATAATAGTTTTTAAGAACTCCAATTTCTCAGTACTACGTTTAAAAATTACATCAATAAAGATAAAATCAAACCCTCGCATACAGTCCTAGTGAGAGTCGTGTTCTTGTTGTGAGAGAGTACTTTATTTAAAATTGTGTTCTATTATAAAGAAATGGTCGTTGCACATACCACAGTTATCTTTCTAACTGTCAGTATATTGAATACCGAAAGTGTGAATTTTTTTTTTCATGGATTTTTGTTTGTGATGTCATTCAACAGGTGGTGCAGGAGTTTTGATTACATACATAGATGCTAAAATACACGCTACATCCATTATAGTAAGATTTGATAGGTTCGGTTGCACCAAGTTACCACTGGCCTGGCATTACAGAGAATCTCGAGTAGGAAAATTGAGAAAGAAAACTAGATTACTAGCATATAATAAACTGAAATCTGCAATAATTAAAATTCATGAGATGATCGTTTGTATATCCTCGCTGTTAACCATTCAAAAGAAGCCACATGTCCAAGCTATTAGTACTTTCACAAATACATTTAAAAGATGTCTAGGTCTAGTGTAGCTTTTTCAGCTTTTTGAATGTCCTAATCTTATGTCCCTCAAAACGTTGTATTTACATTTTCTTTCTTTTTCGCAAGAGCTGTTTTAATTTTTTCCTAAAATGTTTGCGAAATGTTATGCAAAAAATATGCATCTCCAAAGAAGCGGCTGAAATAGAATTGATTCTGAAAATCCTTGGGCATTTTACCCAAAAGAAACTATCATACTTGATATTCAATACATCTGATACTTTTATTACAGACAAACATGACTGAAAACGAAATGTTATGTAAAACAACCTGTACAGTCACGTAATACATTTTGTGGAAATTTTTAAACTTTAAAAGTATAAATTTTAAACTATTGACACTATTTTTTCATTTAGGTGTTCCAAGGTGTTTAGTGTTATACCATTCTCTCTGTAACACGCTATATTGTTATACTATTCTGTGTAATTTGTTGTATTAAGCATAGCTATTTAGTGCAGTTATCATATATTCTGTGTAACATGCTGTAATAACCCTCAGTTAATATTATTCCTAAGTGTTTATTGTAGTTATTCTATTATCAGTGTAACTCACTTTATTAAGCTTAACTGTTTAACATTGTTATATTAGTCTTAGTGTAACATGCTAAGCGAGGCACATTTTGAATTATACAACGAATTCATTTGATTCCAGTTGGGCAGTTTTGTTTAGCCCACGACTGTGAAAATTCTATGGCAGAAAAATGCAGGAAAAATGTACTTCAGAAAATGGAAACAGAAGCCAGTTTGTTCTCCCAAACCGACAAAGACGACTTTTGCAGGTATTAGTGATCTGATCTTACTTTTGCAGGTATTAATGGTCTGATTTTTAATTCATTATAGTCCCTCCATAATCCTCCTATCAGTTACCTTATTGCCTTCACTTTACACCCGTTTACGTTAAGATTTATAGAAACCTTTACATGGGTATAATTACCCGAAAAGTATGGGCGACATGCGCGTTTCAAAAACATGTGACATAATTTGAATACGAGATTAAAAATTAGGATTAAAGCTTTTTTAAAATTACAATTTCAATTTAAAAAGTATTTTTCACAGAAGTTATAAACTTAACCTGAATACTGAATGTTGTTTTTGCTAATGGAATTATTATTATTATTATTATGGCCAAATTAATATTATTCTAAGCGCTCACTTATTCTGACTGGTTCAAAATTCGACGTTTCTGCCATTGTAATACTCACTGAAACACCGCATTAACGTATAAGTTAACTAAACCCATATGTGTTTCAGGGAAGATAATAAAACGTGAAGTTTATGATGATATGTTAATATTGTGATGTGATATTTTTACAGGGTTTTTCATCACAACATACCATGCCTACTTAATGAATTCTCACTATGTGAGAACAACGATATCAACGAACAAACTAGCAACATCTTGCATAAGGGACGAGATTACATGAAAAAAATGTGCAACCAAAATAAAGGTAATAAAAGTATGATATCAATAACACAACACTTTTATTTTAATGTTATACTATGATTATCATTTTGTTTGTTTATCATTGCAATATTAGATATCAGTAACTTAACAAGGTGTTAAAGGAATCGAACATTTTGCGCAAAGAGTTGAACAATCTAGATTTACTATTAGTTTTATATATTATTATTGTTAAGTGTTTTTCTAGCAGGTCATGACATTCAAGTAATTTTAACGATCAGTGTAATTTCTCCTCAAAATATATTTAGTTTCATATTGTTCAACAATTAATTTCAATACATGTGTATATCTGAATCCTTCTCGTCCAGTTATAATTAAACCTAGGCCATGAATGATAATAAGCCCAATACGTTTATTTTATTTCACCAATAAAATTAGTTTAATTCGTATAGTCAAATTATTTAGATCTACAGTAGATACTGTGAATTAACAGTATTAAAATAACTAACTTTGAAAATTTTCTCCGTCATCAAATGGAAAACAATGAAACCTGAATATTGTTCAATTAGAATAATTTAAGTGTTATACTCAAGATTTCTATGATGAATGCCAACTCTTGTTAATATTGCATCACTGAGTGTTATACTCAAGATTTCTCTGATGAATGCCAACTCTTGTTAATATTGCATCACTGAGTGTTATACTCAAGATTTCTCTGATGAATGCCAACTCTTGTTAATATTGCATCACTGAGTGTTATACTCAAGATTTCTCTGATGAATGCCAACTCTTGTTAATATTGCATCACTGAGTGTTATACTCAAGATTTCTCTGATGAATGCCAACTCTTGTTAATATTGCATCACTGAGTGTTATACTCAAGATTTCTAGGATGAATGCCAACTCTTGTTAATATTTCATCACCGATAGCTTCTGTAAAATATTCTATATTTATATAACTAATTGTGTGCCAGACGTCTCTTCAAAGCTCTTTTTTTATAGATGAAATAGGATAACGATAACATGTCACTAAGATTAAAAGTGAAAGGCCTTTAGTGCAAAAGTTAGTGTGGCTAAGAGTGGACAACTAAGATTATTTTATTTCATAGATTAAATACTAAAATAATAAATAGCACAAATTATTATATATATCGCCGTGTCTACAGCGTGATAGCCTTCTTACAGTCTGTGCATAACTTTCCTGTCTACAGCGTGATAGCCTTCTTACAGTCTGTGCATAACTTTCCTGTCTACAGCGTGATAGCCTTCTTACAGTCTGTGCATAACTTTGCCGTCTACAGCGTGATAGCCTTCTTACAGTCTGTGCATAACTTTGCCGTCTACAGCGTGATAGCCTTCTTACAGTCTGTGCATAACTTTGCTTCTAACTCCTGGTATTCTTCTTCTATCAAACTCTTAGGATTCTCATGCAATTTTAATTAAACTGTAAAAAAAACAAAAAAAAAAACAAACTTACCGACTTACATTTTCTGCTATAACGTTAAGTCATAGCTCTTAAGGTTATTAAACCCTACTGTTCTTTATTTTATCATAAGGTTGGGAAGGAAGTGTTTGTTTTCAGTCATCCCATATAGAAGACTGCGAAGATCCAGCGTTGATGCCCTCGCTGTCGGCTGATAATTGTCGGTTGGTACATTTGTTTCAGATTAACGTTTTCCATGATGTTAAACCCTATAAATGGATCATTCTATTAATTATTTTCCTACCAGAAGTTCGAGTTGAGTAAATCCAACCAGGAAACGCCCTATTGGCTCTAAGTGGCTTAAAGTATTCTTAGTTTTTACTTTTCTAAGATAATTCCAGGATTATACGATTCATGAATCCTAATCGCCGCTAATAAATCGGTTGTCTGAACGGCGTTATTTCACCTTTTCTATTTGCCCTTCTATACTGCTAAAAACCGCGTTTCGATACCAGTGGATAGGCATAGCACAGATAGCCCATTGTGTAGCTTTTATGCTTAACAACAAACAAACTTTTTTACAAAAAATAAAAAACGGCTAAAATGAGATAGAAAAAAAATTAAAAGCAACGTTTCGCCACTGATGCCACGTGAACAGTGGCGAAACGTTGTTTATAAATATATTTTTTTCTATCCCATTTTAGTTGTTTTTCAATTTTGTAAAGTGTGGGATACCTCCAACATTTGTGTTTAATAAACAGATTTGTTCTTCTTGTTAATATTATTATTGAAGCGGTTTAATCAATGTTTTTCAATTATTAAATCAAATCTTGAACGAGATAGCGTATTCGACAGAATCGTAGCGTGAGTTCTCGAACCTCCACTTCAATCAGTGCAAACAAAAGTTATTTGATAAGAAGAAATTTCGTGTAAAATTATTAATATGAATGAGAGAGAATTTCCAACGATGGTGAAGTTAACTCAGGTTTAGGAATGCTAAGCAAAAACAAAATAAACTCGGATAACAAACACATGTAGTTTGTAACAAAATTCTATATTTGACCCAAAATGGGTTCGAAACCCCGTTCCACCAAACATGCTCGCCCTTTCAGCCGTGGGGGCGTTACAATGTGACGATCAATCCCACTATTCATTGGTAAAAAGAGTAGCCCAAAAGTTGGCGGTGGGTGATGATGACTAGCTGCCTTTTCTCTACTAAATTAGGAACGGCTAGCTCAGATAGCCCTCTTGTAGCTTTGCGCGAAATTCATAACAAACCAAACCAATGACTAAAACACAGTGCCAAGTTATCTAAGTTGGCACGTTTATTTTTGTCTCGTCTAGCTGCTGGGGTTGACAAAAGTTCGAAAAGATCTGGCAACGGAGATCAGTCAAAGACCCCCTCCCCAGTGTCACAGCGTACTTACAACGCTAAAAACCGGGTTCGTGTGGTGGGCAGAATACAGATAGCCCATTGTGTAGCATTGTGCTTAATTACAAACAATCAGTCAAAAGATCGTGATAGTGTAATTCTTCTACTTAGCAGGTATTTAGGTTTTATGTTTAAACCAGTGGTGTTCAAAGATCAAGCAGTTTTCCTTCTTGAAGAAGAAGAAAAAGAGTTCACAATATGTACTATTAGTGGTCACGAAATAAATACTGTGAGTCTGTGACCTGTATTTGTTGATACACGCTATGAACAAACTACTTGTTTCAACATGCAATTAAATATCAATTTTCGATCGCAAAAATTAGAAAACGGTTTTCAATACTGTTACCCGCATGTTTTGTGATGGCCAAGCGTGGCTCAGTGGTTCACGTGTGCCTTATGAATCTGCGGGGCGACATTTCGAGCTTCGCACTTTTGGGCCATGTGTGAGTTATAAGGGTGATGGTAAAACCCCACTATTCTGTTAAACAAGAGTCGGCAGTGGGTGCTATTGACTAGCTGCCTTCCTTCTATCTTATCAGTTCATAATCGGGAACAGCTAGAGCAGGTAATCCTTAACTAGTCACAAACAAACAAAACATGTCTAGTGATACCTTTACCAGTTGTACTTAATATGACATTTCTATAGTTATGTTTAATGTCTTTGGTAGTGTAGAGAATCGTTGAAAAAAATCTACCTGATTAGTTTGAAATTGACCTTTTTTGGTTGATATTAAAAATTAACCCAAAATATAACTGTAAACTTGTATTTGTTTTGTTTTTCGAGTATTTTGATACGACTCAAAAGTATAATTTTTTATCAGTAGCTTTTCTTTTTGAAGTTTTTTTTCAAAATAACATTCGTTATTTGAAGTGTAATACAAACTGTTGATGTTTATTTACTCGTTTTGTACCAACTAGAAAATACATGTATTACAAGGAGTGCGTCACAAAAAAGCTGAAGGCCTGTCCTAAAGAAAAGCTGGACTTGTTGGGTGTCTTTCTGGTTGACAAGTTTGGAGAATTAGTGTGGCAATGTCCTAGAGTTAACCAGACCAAAGGCATGATGGACAAACCTTACGCTCAAAAATTGTCTGTACCTTCTCAGGAAGGTAGGTGTCGAAGTGAAAAAAGGAATGTTATTTTCTATAATAAAGTTCTGAGTTTTGTACCTCAAACGTCTAATGATTTCTTAATTTTAGCGCTCAGTGGTGAACAAGTTGTTAATTGGTGATAACTAATAAGTAGTCATGATTCAGTTATTAGTGGCAAAAACAGGTGGAGCTTATTAATAAAAGACCTTAAAAACTAGCTGTATAAAACATTAGGAATTCTTTTTATTTCTAGAACATTATATATTTACCATTATTTTATTGTTCGTATCTGTCGTGGTAATAAGTTCCAAACGTCATTTATTAATGTATAATCTAAATATACTACAGGAGTGACTATTGTAAACATAGGGGGATTCTCCTGTGAAAGGTACTCTAACCTACTAAATTGATTAAATTCCTCTTTACTGGCAGCACTTTCCACAGACTGACCTCTCTCTAACGTGTGCAACAGAACTTATTATGTATTATTAATGGTAAAACTATTCAGTGTTGCCCTTCCTTGTGGACCGTGTTAGTGATAGTGGTATCAATTTAATAATATGCTTTTATTATAATAGTTCAACATGTGATTGCTAAATGAAGTTTCATGAAAAACGTGATTACAAAACAGGGGTGTGTCACTGTTCTGGGAAGTGATTAGGGACTAGCCTATATTGATTATAATAACAATACAGTAGGTAGATATGAAGTGAGTTTAAATTGATACGCTTACAATGATATCTCATGAATAAACGTATCCCAGCATCTTTTTCTATAGCACAAACTGAAAAAAGCAGCCAAAACATACATTTGGTTGTACAGGTTAGTCGAAGAATACAATGTAATATTCATAGAATACTACTTAGGCCTAAGAATTTTGTAGCGATTTAACTTGGATCAGATAATAATGTGAGGTATATTCAAGTATCAATGGAATAAGTCCACTTAATAACAGAACATTCGGTCAAGATATCTACAACGAAGTGACATTATATCCCTTAGTAATTGAGTCATACGAATGACTGAAATAAAGTCTAAATACGATGTGAAACTCAAAATGAACAATATTAAGGCAGATTCAACACAAACAATGTGTATACTTACTTTGTTTACATGAGATTTTTGCTTTTACTGGATCTTCTATCTTCAACTGACCATGCAGAATCCGTGTACTTTGCAATAAATGTATTTACTCAGAGCAACTGACACTAATCATGTTACTGGTTATTTTCGTTCAAACATAGTTAAGACCATAACCTCAAGATATCACATGAACTACCATTAGAGAAAATTGCTGTCAACATCCTTACATAATGTGCAGCATATCACTCACGGGCAGAACAGATATTATCTACTCAATAGTAACAAAGGCAGCTAGAACGAAATCAACTCAACGGTTTCTCAAACGCATATTATGTGAAACATGAACATATACAGAATTAATAATAAATTGGATTGCAGGTTTAAATCTTGTCATCGAACATGCTCGCACTTTCAACTGTGGAGGCGCTATAATGTGACGGTTAATCCCACATTTAATTAATAAAGAGTATCCCAAAAATTAACGATGGGTGGTGTTGACTTCCTGTCTTCCGAATTAGGGATAGCTAATGCAGTTAACCTTCAGGTACATTTTTGCGAAATTCAATAAAATGAATAATTATTGCAGGTAAAGCTAAGCCTAAAGTTTCAACATTAGGCTTAATACTCGATCGATAGGTTTACCCTATGACATTATATTGTGTCTTAGGTTTAACATAGTGTTAAATGTTAAGTTATGGGTTACAGGGTACTGAAGTTGTTAAATATTAGATTAAGAAATGAATTTATATCTATGAATTTATATATTGTAAGAGTTTAAATTATTATTTCTATTTGGTAAATGCTGAGAATATAATACACCAGTAAATTATTTACGTTAGTAATTCGTTACATGCAAGTCTTAACTGTAGAAATAGTAAGTAGTCATATAAGTATTAGGCAATAAAGAAATTTAGTGTTAGATTAATCTATAAACTGTGAAATAGCTTAATATTTATTTAAATATACAATTATTCACTTATTGGGTGGATAGGTTGGTAATGGAGAATCAGGACTAATGAACTTCATTGGGGTTAAAGGTTGTTCTTGCACGACTGGATGGGAATATATATTGACTGACTTTGGGGATCCTAAAAAACGACTCAATACTCCACATTTGCAGAACTTAATTACTTAAGCTGAAGATAAACTAGATAACTTTTAGGAAGAATGCGCTATTAGATGGAGAAAATAGAACATTAGGAAAAGAAATCAAGAAAGAAATGGATAATTAAGTTAGAGGTTGCTTTGAGGAAGGATTAGAATTAGTGCTTTGTTTACAAGGAGGCGTACCGGTTAAAAAAAAAAGTCAATACAAGTAGGTTCAGTTAGCATTCAGGTATCAGTCTTTCAATAGATTTGAATCTTTGAATACTTGCAGGGAGGAACGGAATGATTAAGAAGTTTACATAGTGAGAATTTTCTCATTAAATATACTCTATTTTTATTGGGGTGCATAGTAACGTCGGGACTAGAATTTGCTTGCCAGGTGCTAAAGTAGAAGACATGGTAGTGTGTTGGCAGTTTAATAGCTGGTACCAAAGAGCACCTTCTTTTCGTCGTGCATGTAGTAGCGAATGATGTTGAAAATCGGAAATTAAAGGAGCTGTTCAAAAAGTGTAAGGTTTAGGGATAGAAATAGACGTGTGGCTCTTTCGAAATTGACTCCTCGTATTAGATGTGGCCATGTGTGAAAGGATTACTTAATAGGATCGAAAGATTAAGAACTAAAGATATTCACCAAAGATAGTTTAAAAGTAAACTTGCATAGTGAAATATACAAATGAAGATTAGCTAGAAGATTTAAAGCATAAGTTAAGTAATATTTTTAAAGATAAGTGTCAGATTTGTAGATGAACAGTTGATTCAATAATAAGCTTATGTGCTATTATTATAATGTTAGGAGTATTAGAAAAAAATAGATGAGTTCAGGGCTCTGTTTGAAACGGGAGGTAAACAATATAATAGAAATTATTGGAATTTGAGAACATTGTTAACAGAGATTATTTTGAAATTCCAATTTATAATTAATTTTGATAGTGATGGAGTTTTTTAAAGAGAAGGTGGGCTGTCTCTTTGTGTAAGGAATGAACTGTATTCTGTTGGAAAGAGAAGGTGGGTTGTCTCTTTGTGTAAGGAACGAACTGTATTCTGTTGGAAAGAGAAGGTGGGTTGTCTCTTTGTGTAAGGAATGAACTGTATTCTGTTGGAAAGAGAAGGTGGGTTGTCTCTTTGTGTAAGGAATGAACTGTATTCTGTTGGAAAGAGAAGGTGGGTTGTCTCTTTGTGTAAGGAATGAACTGTAATCTGTTGGAACTTGAGACATAAAAAAAAACATACTCAAGATGTTGAACCCGTATGGGGTTCAAAACAAAGGTTTCAAGAATACAAAGTTTTTAATTGGCAATTTTTATAGGCCACTTGATTAAATGATGTTAATAAGAAATTGTATGCAGAAATAAAGGTGTTGCTAATAGGAATAGTGATGCAATAACTATGGGAGATTTTAATTGTTTAACCACATTGACTGGAATTTTACTGCTGCTCGAAACGTCGCCAAGTTAATAAATTATTATCATAGTTTTTAGAGGTGATTTATTTTTCTCTAAAAGTCTAATTTATTTTATATTATTGTTACTTTACTTCACACAGAAATGGCTTGTCTTTCTGAAGTAGCCGAAGATTTGAAGGGATGTACATCCAAAGTTGAAGAATCTTCACGTATGGCAGAAGAAAAGGAAGGGAAAGAAAAGATTCACTTCATGTGTTGGTAAGCCTTAAAACAGTTGTTCAGTATATTTTAGGCCGGCTGTGGCTTAATGATATGCGTGCTGTAGTGGGGGATCCGAGTTCGCGTCCCGTTACTGAAAAAAAAGTTGCATAGGTCGTCAGTGTATTATAATAGTGATTGTCCAATCCCACCATTCGATTAGAGCAGCCCAAGAGCTGGCGATGGGTGCTGTTGACTAGCTGCTTTCCCTCTAGCCAACCATTTCAAAATTAGGGCCAGCTAGCACAGGTAGCCCTTGTGTAGCTTTGCGCAAACATCCGTAAAAAACAACAACAACCAAACTCTGTCTTTCAAGTACCACCTCCTTACACTGAATACATTAGAATAAATGGGTATAGAATTTTTGTGACTGTACTTTTCTTTATCCTTAGATGCTGGATATATGTTTAAGGTTTTACTCTCATTTTGGTCTAAAAAATAACAAGCTTTTAAGTGCCTTTGGTGCCTTACACAGGAAAAGAAAAAAAAAACTTTTTGTGCTTGATTGCCATACGAAGATACAGTTCAAAACTTCCCACAATTTAATTGTCGAACAGGGAAGAAGTCCACATTTTTTCTTACAACACCCTGCGCGCACGCATATGTGTGTATACTTGAATAAATATACTGTTGTTGAACGATTATCAATCATTTTCAACACCTACCAACTTACTAACTGTATACAAACGTTTCCCACCCTTGATCCCACTGGTGTAATAACTAACAATTTATCATTATTTCATTCACGTTGCAACATCATAGCATTGCTATTTTATATTTAGTAGTTAAATATTGACGAGCGTAGAAATCTTGTATCTGTTATTTCTTATGTAAGAGTATGGTAACATGTTTTAGTTCGAATTATAGACAAATATACATAAAGGTAGAAAGACAGGCGGATAGAAATAACACAAAGATACAAACACAGACGTACGTCTGGAATAAATAGAGAAATGAAGTTAAACAGACAGACAAGCAAATTGAGCGATAGACAAACATGGATATATATATAATAGACAGACAAGCAAATTGAGCGATAGACAAACATGGATATATATAATAGACAGACAAGCAAATTGAGCGATAGACAAACATGGATATATATAATACAGACAAGCAAATTGAGCGATAGACAAACATGGATATATATAATAGACAGACAAATTTCTGTAGTTCTTCAACTTTTACTGTATTGATATCGAGAAGTCAAGTCCATAACTTCAGTTCCGTTTTTTTCTTGTATATTTGAGCTGCTAACACTCGTACTTTTACTGACCGTGGGCTATAAGCGGTTCTGTCCTGGATGCCTTTACTTTTGCACGATCTACCGTCTTAGCATGCTTAATTTTTTGGAATATCGCAAAGACCACTTGTCTAAACCACAGAAACAAAAGTGTCCCTTTGAGATATTGGTATACATGTGCACCGGATACAATATTAAATAAAAGTGTCCCCTTGGGTTACTGGTATGCATATGCACAGGATACAGTATTAAACAAAAGTGTCCCCTTGGGTTACTGGTATGCATGTGCACAGGATACAGTATTAAACAAAAGTGTCCCCTTGGGTTACTGGTATGCATGTGCACCGGATACAGTATTGAACAAAAGTGTCCCCTTGGGTTACTGGTATGCATGTGCACCGGATACAGTATTGAACAAAAGTGTCCCCTTGGGTTACTGGTATGCATGTGCACCGGATACAGTATTGAACAAAAGTGTCCCCTTGGGATACTGGTATGCATGTGCACCGGATACAGTATTGAACAAAAGTGTCCCCTTGAGTTACTGGTATACATGTGCACCGGATACACTATTAAACAAAAGTGTCCCCTTGAGTTACTGGTATACATGTGCACCGGATACAAGATTCATTTGAGAGCGAGAACAATAACTTTTTTTTCTTTCTTTTCCAGCATGATGAAAGAAACAGAGATGTGTATCCGCCAAGTCCTGCAGAATAAATGCAGCGATTTCCTCGAGAACCTCATGAATAAGGCCATGGGGCAGATGCTAGAAACTATGGAAATGACTTGTAAAGATGTCGATATGGACACTTGTGGTAGTTCTTCCATTTCACCCCAAGGAGTTCTGATAGGTGTCTTGTTACTTACGATAATCTCTTTCCTCAAAGTTACACATGCTGCATGAAATGTCGATATATATATAACTTTTCGTATGTTTTACTTACAAAATATTTACGACATATTATGGATTGTAACTTAATTTAGTTTAGCGCGTGGTTTCCTGCTAAAAGTATTATAAACAGATTTTGTGTTTTATTAACAAGTTATATTAATAAACCTCAAGTGGGAAGCACGCTGTAGGAAAAGTTACAACATTTCGTCTCTGTTCATATTTACGGACAAAAAAAAAAGTATTCTAAACTTAAATTTCGTTTTGATATTTTACCGTCACACATTGTTTTTAATTTGTCAGCCAATCTTTTGAGCATATATTCATCTATTATTAATTACGATTTTTGATATGGTAAATGTATTTTTAAGTTCTTATTTGTTTATTTACTTATCTTCTCCCAAGTTTGATATTCCCAATGATGCTATATTTCATCCAACGCTTTGTAGCAACTTGAGCAACAACTGGTTTATAACACCGGGCAACAAAAATCTTTATCTGCTACTATAAAACATACAACTGTTTATGAACAATTTGACGACACTGTTTCTAAAAATCATGTTGAAAATTACTAATCTCCTCTAGATTTATTCAAAATATTCTTATATATCGTGAAAAAATAATTTATTTAATAACTTTATTTATCCGTTGAAAATTGCATTTAAGAATGTTCATAAACAATACATAATAGTAAAACAAGTTTAAAAAAAGCAATGAGTATAATAAGATTATATACTTAAAATATATTCAGTCTATGTTCAAAACTTTCATCATGGTATTATTTTTTGTTACAAAATATCTCCTTGACTTTTTTGCGCCTTTTGTGTATGTTCTAAGTTTCACGCTGTAAGAACCAACAGTAATCTCCCATCAACGCAGGAATACATCTTCCTTTATCTGTGTTCCATTATATAAATATCTTGGTGGAAGCGCTCATCATAGGCATCGCTCACTTCCCCTAGATCATTTGGAAAGAAGTCTAAATAGGAGTGTAAGAAATGCAGATTTAGTGACTCCTAAACTCCATTTTCCCGTAGTTCTCGAGCATATCACATCATAGTTTCATCTCTGTGATTTCCTAAGAAAATTTTGACAACCAATATGAATTATTTCCAGGAAGCAAGTTCTTTCTAATTGAGCACTGTTTCAAAATTATCCACCGTCAGCAGTTCCCGAATCTGTGGCCCAACAAAGATACCTCCTTTCATTTTTGCTTCACTGATTTTTGGAAACTTCTCAGACATTTATCTGAAACCATTACCATCTTTGTTCATTCCTTTCATAAAATTCTTCACGAGTTCCAGTTTAATATGAAGTGGGGACATAAACACATTTTGAGGATTCACTGAAGGTTGATACTCAATATTCTGTTTTCCTGGTATGTAATTCTCTTTCACTGGCCATTCCTTCTCTTTGAAATGATTTTATCATCGTGTGTTCCAGACACACAGAAGCAACAATGTTAAATATACCCAATCTGCAGGCCTAGCAGGAGTTCAGTAACTTTTAGATTGCCACATATGTTCCACTTATGGTGATCATCTTTAATGGCCTCAAGTATAATCTGCATACTTTGATAAGTTTTTCATGTTCACAGCATGAGCAACAGGAATCGATGGATTAGTGTTCTCATTGTGCAAAAGTACAGTTTTTCAGACTAACTTTAGATGAGTCTATAAAAAAAATCTCCATTCTTGAGGATGATGTTCAGTACCTAATCTTCCATTATTGCATCAAGATTTGTACAGAAACACAAAGTATATTGTATGCTGTAATGAGAACCAGGACTTTGATGGCGACTTTGGTGAATTGAAACTTTGTTCCTGGAGCTAATAAATTCCATTGCTGTAAACGAGAGTCAAAAAGTTCCCCATACTTCTTTGATAGAGACAAGTTACGAATCAAATCACTTAGCTCTTCTTGTGTGATCAGATGAGACAGTTTATGTTGAGGTGACGCAGGAATAGGATTACTAGATGAAGAGGATGAAGATGGTTCATTGTCTTCTTTGCAGGATAATTTTTCTGTTTCCCAATTCGCTGGTGGATGTGGCACTGGAAGGCCATCCCCATAAGGTACTGGTTTAATTACAGATGCAATATCTGGATATTTAAAGTATTGTTTAGCTTTGCCTGAACATCCAGAAACATTGGTCATGCAAAAACAACAGTCACGTAGATGATCTTTGAGCAAACACCATATCATGAGAACTGCAAATGACATACTTGCTCTCATTATATTCAGCCACTGTGTCAGGCCAGATGTGCAAACTGTACAACACACATGTAGAGTCCAATGTTTTTTTTTTGGGGGGGGCACCAATTTTACACCCAAAATAGTGAAAATATGTGTAATGTTTTTCATTTGTGAAACCGTAATATATTTTTTCATAAGTGTAGCAAAAACTGTTTGGGTGATTTTTGCACTTTCGGACTTTACTTGAACTGGATGCAGCCAGCATTTCAAATGATTTTCTAAAAAATATAATTTATGTTTACAGAACTAGAGTTTAAAAAGTTTTGAAACACAAAGTTTTACAGAATTTGGTTATATCGTGGGTATGATGTGGGAAGAAGATCTGACATTGTTTTGACTTTGCGCGGTGCGAGGCAAAGTGGCCAACTGAGTGAGTGAGAGCAACTGACAGAGAGGCGTTTGACTCTACCACTTTTACGTTCATTCGAGGTACTTCTAGAATGTTCTAGCAAACTGTGAGGGTTCGTGATTCTCGAGCGGAGCAGATGAGTGTGGGAATGAAGCAAAAGTGGTGCAATTCGATACAATTATAACGAGAACACATGAACAATATAGTTATAATTTTACACCAATATAATGCAGTCAATGTTTGAATTTATCAAAAATGTATGCCTTTTACCCATTAAACTTCCAAGTAAACTTAATTTCACAGCATAAATCTATTGTATTGAGTTGATTGCATTGTATTTCACATAGTGCTGATAAAATACTAATATAACATTTCAAAATCTAAAATATAGAGGTGGTGGACAAATTCTGACTAAATTTTGGAAATCGGCACCATGAAATTACATGAGTTTTCTCCGTAGCAAGTTTTTTGTTGTCCAGTGTAATTATCAGTCCTATGTATGTGATGTTATATAAATTCTTTAAAAAGTACAATTATTAAACTTTGCTTCTATTATATCATACAAAGTGATCTTTCATAACAAAGAACTTTATGTCACCATTGTTATTATAATACTCTTTAATGTAAACAATATGAAAAACACGTCACCAGAAGAATTACAGAAAGATCTTTTAACTACAGATAACTTTTTTTCATCAGCATGAAAATTTTGCTCTAAATACACTGGTAACTTTTGTATCATCTGTTTCATGGGGGGAGTGTGTTTGTTACTCAAGGTGATTTTATGTAGCTAATTTCTCCACAAACATGGCCAACCTATATCTGCACTTTTTTGAGATTTTATTTATGCTATTTATTTATGTTAATATAACGTAAGGTGTAACTTGTGCAGTTACACCTTACGTTATATTAACGATCTAATCTCTATCAATAATCTAAATTTTATTCTAAATCAAATATATCCAAAGTAACTACTTGCAATAGATAGAAGTAATAATGATTATAATCATACACACTATATAGATTTAAATATTGCTTTCGTTGAAGTCGGAGTATAGTTAACTAGTTTTGGGTTTTAGTTTTCCCATCCTTGGTTACCCGCCTCAAACAGTATAGTTCCGTTTATAGTACTGAAATGAATTGATACTTCTCAGTTTGTAACAGTATCAACTCCTTTATTGATAATGTTCAATTATTAAGAAATAAATTAAAAAAATAAAAGTTATAAAGTCTGGGAATATATATTTTTTACACTTTTATGATAAATATGATAATACATTAAAAAATGAATTTTTGATTACCGAAATTACTTTCTGGAATACATAGAGGTCACTACTTAATTATTTATAAACTTCTAATGACCTTAACTATAATTTTGTTTTAAGTATTTGTTCAATGTAACGAGATTGAAAGACTAACATCAGGTAGCTGGGCTTGTCTCAGCTCACGCGGTTTATGCTTGAACAATTTTTTTGAAAGAAACGTAGGAGGATGGGACTTTAGATAATTATTACAGAATTCTTAAGGGTTTTTAGTTCTCTTTAACACTATTGAACATTATTTTGTAATACATATTAAAAGGGTGGAGGTAGGGGGATCTTAAAATTGTAGAAATATAGGGTCGTTTATTTCTACTACAAGACTCTTTTTATATGTCTAAAGATTGGGGTGACTGCCTTTCCACAACTGGTTGCAGACAGCGAAAAACAGTAGGAGTTGAAACATTGTGGGTCTAAGCACTCCGTGATTCTCCGTGGCTGCTAATTAGTTTGACATCTGCGTTTGCATCAGGTCTGATAGATAGAATATCTCCAACGCTTTTGGTAGCTATGACCACAGGCATTTTCCATTATGATTTAATGGTAATGACAAGGGCTAGTAATGGGAAAATATTTTTTTTTGTTGTTGTTGTTTTTAATAAAGTTCATTGGGAACGTTTTGGCTTTGATTTGCACTAATTTTATTTTTGTTACATAGCGCTGATTTGATCGCCTATTTATAATTAATGGAATGTATGATACTATATAACGATTATTTCTTAAAACCAATCATCCAAGGTGAGCAAAAATTTCTCCAGATGCACATTATTAATCGCACATTTTAATTCTCAAAACCCTGCTGGATACTACATGAGGTGTGGCATGACATTATCATCCTAAAGAAGATACTATTCCTCATACAATTCCATCAGAGCTGGAAGTACAGCCTCGTCTAGAATGACATAATGTGACAGAGCAATATTTGCTCCTTTATTAACCATTATCAGTGGATGAAGTTCTGGTATGATTGCAGTTTACCTCACTCAATATTTAGCACCCTTTTGAAATGAAAAATATCGAAGAGTTCTCCAATAAGATTTGTGAAAGACGTCTTGGCTACTCCAAATCTGGTCATGTAAAACGCTTCGAGAAGAAAAGACATCACGATTACTAAATTAATTTACATATCAATCGTCGTATCTTTTGTGAGCCTAGTTTTCTAAAAGTTACTTACAACATTCCAGACGAAAATTACTTGAATGTTGGAAAAACATTGATTAAAATAATTTATTATATTCTTTAAGAGTAAATTTGTTTGAGTAAAAAAGTCTAGACGTAAAACTTAAAATAGAGGACGTTGCCTAATTTGAAATGTTA